TTTTTTTTTTTTTTTTTTTTTTTTTTTTTTTTTTTTTTTTTTTTTTTTTTTTTTTTTTTTTTTTTTTTTTTTTTTTTTTTTTTTTTTTTTTTTGTAGGAGCAACACCAAAGTCAGTTCTTGAGCTGATGGATGTTAAGGATCTAACATTGGCTCATGTCAAGAGCCATTTACAGGTAATCATCTTTAAAACCCTTCATTGTAATCACAAATCTTGCCTTTTTTTCTCTCTCATGTTGTCAGTGATTCAATGAATGAGTATTGTACTTTAATGGATGGCTATCAATCAGTGTGAGCCCTTTTTTTCCTTCCTTTTCAGAAACACAAATTCATATCTTTTTCTGATTTGAAACAGATTGAAAGAGAAAAGAAAGAGAAAAAGTTGTCATGATTACAAAATAATATGAACTTTGATCCAAATATGAATGACTCCTCGTGACTAATGATGAAATCTAGACAGTCCCAGAGAGCCCACAACTCAGAGAAGAGAATTAAAAAATTAATTTAAATGAAATGAGTTCCCAATGACTTGTTTTTTTTCTTTATCAGATGTATCGGACTGTTAAGACCACTGACAAGCCAGCAGCTTCCTCAGGTAATTCGTATTGTTTGGCTCTTCTTTTGTTTCTCTTTTTTCTTGTTCTAATTTGTTTTCTTAACCCGAGTTAGGGCGTTCAGGGTGTGAGTTGGACTTAAGAGAAGTTCGGCTTTCTAAGCTCGAGTGAAAATCGAGATGTGAATCGTAGCTCGAGCGTTGAATTAATAGACTTGAATCGTAGTTCACGGGTGTTGATGTGATTAAATTTATCGTGGGTTATCGACTAAAGTTTTTATTATAGTTAATTCGTGATTTGACATTAAAAGTTGAACTTCAGGGAGGTTTGACTTTTGAAGCTCGAGCGAAAGTTAGACCTAGAACGAGCTGGGAATTGTAGCTCGAGCGGAGAATCAACAAACTTGAATTGTAGTTTATGGGTGTTGATGCGATTAAATTTATTGTGGGTTATAATTCATGATTTGACATTAAAAGTTAGACTTAAGGGAGGTTTGGCTTTCGAAACTCGAGCAAAAGTTAAACCTAGAAGGAGCTGTGAATCGTAGCTCGAGCAGAGAATAACAGTCTTGAATCGTAGCTTATGAGTGTGGATATGATTAAATTTATCGTGGGTCATCGACTTTTAGTTAATTCGTGATTTGACGTTAAAAGTTTTTTTTTTGTTTGAAATTTAATTATGATGTTATTTTATTTTACAAAATTTCAAATTCACTTAATTTTGAGAAAAATTCAAGTGTTAATATAATTAAAGTTATAGTATATCATTGACTTTAGTGTCAGATTCCTGATTTAATATGAAGTAAACTTGTTCGGATTCATTTTTTTAGTTTCAAATCACTTAATAAATGAATTCACATTAAAAAAAAACGTGTGATTTAATTCATTATTTAATTGGTGAAGGCCAATCAGACGGTTCGAGTGACGATGACGTATCTCCTACAATATGCACGGGCCGAGGGGACAATGCCTCAAGGCAATTTTCTGATCAAAGAGCTCCATTGGAACGGTCCGGCCAGCCACCGCCAGATTTGGAATTTGGCTCCTCCACTCTTTGGTCTAATTCTTCGAGGTTAGTTCGTTTCTCCATTTTGTGTTTTAAAAAAAATTTAATACATCGATTTATAAAAATTAAGAATATGTTCGAGAATGATTTCGCTCGATTTTGCAGAGATGTATGGCCACAAACAAACTCTAATGAAACGGATGTCATTAGATCAAATTCATCTACCCAAATGCAACAAAAACCCATGCATCAAATCGAGGTACCGTTTACAAATGTTATGATCGATTAGATTTAGTTCAAGCTCAAACTTCATTTTAGGTCGAGTTAAGCACTTTCAATGATGCACGAGTGAATATACAGATCTAAGAGTCAGTACAAAATTGTCTATTCAAACTCTCGCACGAATGTCGGTTTTCACATAAATATCGAAACCCTAAAACTAGGACCAATATAGTGATTTAGTAGACTTTCGTAGGGTCGTGTTCTTCTCGATTAATACGGATGACCTACTTATGGATTCTTGTTCATGAACTCGAACTTTTAAAGTCTAGTGATTGATTCAAAATCGGGTTCGGGGCACAGATTAAGAAATTTGTGTGACAGGAATGGGATTCAGGTGCAATGAAGAGATACAATAATTCAGAGTGCAAGAAGCCAAGCTTGGAATTCAGGTTAGGCAGAGCAGAATGGGATCTCAAAGAAGACTAACAGCTTAATTTGTTTTTTTTTTTTTTTTTTTTTTTGAATCTCTGTTGATTGAGTTGCTGATCTTGGTGATTGTTGCTAATGCTATCATAATAGATAATAGAGATACACAAATGAAAGAGATGAATCATATTTTGATACTCATTACTTCTAATGTTTATATAATCATTGTAGATATGGGGAACAGAGTCGAGTTCGGTCACGTTCGAGTTTTGTATGATCTAAAATCAGATCAAATCGAATGGTGCTTAAACTAATGGTATTTTATTGATATATTTCTCGTCTTACTTACCACATATTTCTGGTCCGTCAAAGCTAAAGAATCCTACTATAATAGTTCAAGCCCATTGTTAGCGGATGTTGTTGTCTTTGGGTTTTTCCTTTTGGGCTGGCGGTGGGTTTGGACTGATTGTTGCCCAAACGTATTGCTAGCTAATATTATTCTATTTGGACTTTCCCTTTCGAGCTAGTGGTGGACTTGGACTACTAGTGGTGGGTTAAGGCTGTTGCATCTACTCTGTCTTGACTACTAGACCAGCATAGTCTCCACTAACTCTAGTTTTAGAGTTGTTGCCATCTCCTTTTGGGCTAGCAGTGGGTTTGGACTGACTGTTGCCCAAACCCATTGCTAACAAATATTGTTTTATTTAGGTTTTCCTTTTCGGGCTAATGGTGGATTTGGATTGTTGTCGAAACCCACCGCTAACGAATATTGTTCTTTTTAGACTTTCTCTTTTGAACTAGTGGTGGGTTTAGGCTGTTACACCTGCTGTCTCCACTACTAGACCAACTCAATCTCCATTAGCTCTAGTTTTAGTGTCGTAGCCATCTCAACTCATAATTTTTTTCTTTTGTTTAAACTCAGCCTAATTCAAATAAGTTGATAACTCGATTCAAACGATAGTTAGACTTAGAGATACCTACAAGCGAGGTGGGGACAACACATCCCATCCCCACGAAATTCTTCATTTATTTTTACCGGGATCGCCACAAAGAATTTCTACAAAAAAAAAAAAAAAAAAAATA